ACACACACACACACACACACACACACACACACTGGGCTGCATAAGGTTTCTGTAAATTGATTTGCAACAAAATCCAGCAAATCGGTTTATATAGAATAATAAGAACGATATAAATAATAAAAGCCCTATTGACTGTTTATATAGATGAACATGCATCAAACTGACAAGTGAACTTTTTTCTCACAGATAGTTTCTGTCATCTCAGGTCGTCTCTTATCACACTGGTGTTCAAGTGTTCATGTTTCTGATCAGTTGGTTTTAATTGGTTGTTTGATGATGTGAAAACAGGCTGAGGCGTCGTGACTCCATCGTACATGAGATGATAAATTACCTTTATAAGGTTGCAGGCTGGACCTGGAGGATCAAGAGACTATGCATTTTGTAATAACTGCAACAGAAGATAAACTTTTCCGCACGATCTTAGGAGAGAGCATTTTTTTGCCCCAACTTCTGATCCGAAATGCTTCAGGGATGCATCTGGTTTCCAGCCTGTTTCCACCACTGTGTCGTCCACAAGTAGGTGTGTGTGTGTGTGTGTATGTGTGTTGTTCCTGCCAGCCAGCGTGTGCAGTGGAGTTCAGTGTCTTCTTGTTAGTGTGTTCTCCTCAGTCTGACCTGTCTGATCCTTTCACATCAGCCAGCAGCCTCGTACTCCTCACACACACACACACACACACACACAAACACACAGGACCGCCCAGTGTCGATGTCAATGTAGCGTCTGGTAAACACGACAATGGACACGTACTAACACACACACATGCAGGCTAACAGGATAATGACTGGCCAATTAGGCACAGGCTTGATCTGTCTGGATGTATCCAGTCATCGTAGCCCCTCCAGCAGCTATTACTCAGGCATGGACACACACACAGACACACACAGACACACACAGACACACACACGACACACACAAACACACTGGATTGGATGGAGCGCTGTGAAAAGCTGGCTGCTCCACCACACAACCTCTGTGAGTTAGTGTGTGTGTGTGCGTGCAGGAATTTATTCTCGTGTTCTGTGATAAGATCTGTTTAAATTTGATAATGCGAGTCATTGCTTCTTCTGTTCCTGCTCTGAACGGATGCAGGAGTTGTGATGTCTGAATATTGAAGAACCTCCAGTGAAATAACTCTAAACACAAGAAGAGTTCGTGTACGGAGCAGATGAAGTTCAAGAGGAGTTAAATGTTTCTACAAAGACTAAAACACACACACGAGTCACAAAGGGCTTAAAAAAACAACAAATAGTGAATTGTACTTCGTCTTCTCAGTGTGAATGAATTTGTTCTTGAACTCACTGTATTTAGACGAATATTGATCTTAGCGTTAGTTCAGGATTTAGGTGAAGAAGTCGAGCAGAGTCACAAACCAGCTCGTCAGCTGACAGCAGCAGATCTCTGTGCACGATCGTTTAGCTCATCAAACTAATTTGAACTGAAGAGGTCCTGCCTGAACTGTGATTCAGAATCCAGTGGACGTATTATTAAGTTGTTTTTCTGTCAATGGATCGTTTGACATAAGAAATTATAAGAAATAATTCAAGAGAGACAGAGAGAAATCACAAAAAATCGTTCTGTGGAGCATATGTGTTGACTGCAATGTACAGTACGTGTGTGTGTCTGTGTGTGTCTGTGTGTGTGTCCATGTGCCACGTGTTGCTGCTGTTGGCCTTAACTCCAGATTCACTCCGTTTGAATGGATGATCCTCACCACCATCATTGCAAACTGCATCGTTCTGGCTCTGGAACAGCATCTTCCTGACGGAGACAAGACGCCTCTGTCTGAACGACTGGTAACAAACACACACACACACAGAGACACACACACACAGAGACACACACAAATACAATAAATACCAAATACAGAAATATAGTGAATACAAACACACCTGTGTAGCATGTGTACAGAACACACAAAGACACACAGACGAATGATGCAGAGCAATTTTTCATACACAGACACAAATTAACAATAAATACAAATACACAATCACACATGCTCATGTTGGCTGAAATTATAATACAGAAATATTTGTGTCAAATCCTATTAAAAAAAACAATAATCGTATTATTCAGAACGTTTTTTACAAATGTGTAAAGTCGTCAGAAATTCCTGTTTTAAATGATTATTATCGTACAACGTGAGGAAGTTGTTTTTGGTTATAAAGCTCAATCTACGAAAACGAGCAAACAAGACCAAACAAGTTGGATTTGAGTTTTTACCTGAATATTTAATTTTCGAGAGAGTCTCTGTTCTGATTGGCCCGAATGACACAAAGCACCCTGTTCTCCGACCTCCAGTCAGAAGCAGGAGAAAGGAGGCGTAAGATTGTGAATATCTTTGGTGCCTAAAACCACAAATCTCTAATTATGTTGAAATAAAACACTGTAAAGGTTTAAAATAAGTTTCAGGCAAGACCATTTGAAGTCTTATGTAAAATTATTAAAATTATCCGTTTATTCACACTGTGTTCTTCTCTCGCAGGAGGAGACGGAGCCCTACTTCATCGCCATCTTCTGTTTTGAGTCGGGGATAAAGATCCTGGCTCTGGGGTTTGCGTTACATAAAGGCTCGTACCTGAGAAACGGCTGGAACGTCATGGACTTTGTGGTCGTGCTCACCGGGTGAGTAACACTCCTGACTGTTTTACCCCTGATATCAGTTTTATTTCAACTTTTTTTGTCGTCTTTTAATTTTTTCCCAAAGCTCAGTTTATTTCCTCCCAGTAATGTTTGCTATTTATTTGTAATTGTTTGCTTGTCGTCCAGATGATGCCTCATGTGCATCATTTAGAATGTGAAGGATGTTTTCCTGTGGTTTCCTGTCGTCGCGAAATTAATGACGAACATTTACACAATTAAAAGCATTAAAGGTGGAAAGATATCTTAGGATACATTTAATCTTTACTCTAAATCTGTGTGTGTGTGTGTCTGTGTGTGTGTGTGTGTGTGCGTGCGTGTGTGTGTGCGTGTGTGCGTGTGTGCGTGTGTGTGTGGTCATATAGAAACATGATTTCCCCCTTTTCTTTCTGATCGCAAACACACACACAGAAGCAGCAGAGGCCTGGTTTGACAAGGTGTGTGTGATCAGAGCCGCTCCCCCTCAGTCACTATCCTCCTTTAATGAGGACACACACACACACACACACACACACACACACACACACACACACACACTGGATCAGAGCAGCACTGCAGGGAGCAGCAACCAGGGCAAAGTGAAATGTCACTTCTCTAAGAGATGGGGGAGCAGGTTTGTCGTTATGACGATCGCAGACAGAGAGAGGCAGCAGAGTTTCCTCCATCTCTCCCTCTACCTCTCTACCTCTCCCTCTCCCTTTCTCCCTTTCTCCTCCTCTGTTCATTTTCAATGCATTTTATTTGAATAATCGGCAGCAGCACAAATTGTTGAAGCTTAAACAAGAAATCTCTTTACAACAGAGGCTGTGACTCAAACAATACGATATTTCAGTATTGATGTGGATCATCTGTTTGGTTCTATTCAAGATTAAATTCTGTGACTTTTTAATGTCTGGAAGAAAGAAATGGACTTTTATCTGGATCCTTGAGGGCCGTCCACACCAGGTGCACCCCACCTCTCACCCAGTGCCAGCTGGGATCGGCTCCAGCTAACTCCCGCCTCACTCAGTTGATAAACGGTATAGATGATGGATACGAATCTCCCATTGCTGTCGTTGGACAAACCTTTCACCAGAGGGATGGTAGAAGCAGGTCGCAGTGATGTTTTCTCCATATTTGCAATGTTTCATGGGAGATGCACATGAGTTGGTAACCGGGCTGAGAGAGTGTGGGTCCCTGAGAGAGACAGATTGAGGCTGGTCACGAGTTAAGAACAAGAAGTTCCACTGAGCGTGAGTGGAATTACTCTTTAACGTCTCACATGATGAATTATATCGTACATTTCCACCACAATAATTCCATCATATACTCACCAACAACCACAGATAGATAAATAAACAGAAAGACAGAGGAAGCCCTGTGAGAGCAGAGGAGCCTCCCCTCGCCACAGCAGCAGCTGTAGAGTAGAGCTGTACTACTGCAGCTAGATCGCAGAGCGAGGAAAAAAAGAGGAGGAGGAGGTGGAAGAGGAAGAGGACACGTGACGATGTCTCTCCGTTCCCCTGGGCTCTGGATAACAGGACAGAGAGAGAAAGACAGAGGGAATACAAGATGGGTTTGGCTGCTGGAGAAGGCGTGAGAGGGATGGAGAGCAGAGTGGAGGCAGAGCGAGAGGAGGACGACCACAGGAAGGAGGGAAGAGTGATGGGTGTGGGTGAGGAAGGAGGAGGTGAAAGTGATGTATGGAGAGTGAGAGAGAAGGTTTGGAGGAAGGATGGGAGGAGGAGGAGGGAAGGCAAAGATGGGTACCGAAGAAAGGGGGAGGGGAGAGAGAGAGAAATGAGATCGAGCAAATGCTGAGAGGAGCATGCTTGGTGTGTGCATGTGTGTGTGTGTGTGTGTGTGTGTTTGCGTGCGCGCTGCAGTAACCTGCTTTTCCCTGCTCCCTATGATCAATCACTCAGCGCAGCCTATATACCACACACTGCTGTTATCTGGTGCACACACACACACACACACACACACAGACACACACACACAGACACACACACACAGACACACACACACTGTATTTCATCACTTAGATATTGTAAATTTATAGACACAGAATCACTATGCATACATTACTATGGCCTATTTAAACAATTATTTCAAGTCTCCATGTATGTTCATGATCGAACATTTTTAAATTTAGGCACGTTATGGACACGTGTGTGTGTGTGTGTGTGTGTGTGTGTGTGTGGGGGGGTGTCTTGTATGGTAACCCTAACCCTAACCCTAGTTTTACACCAATAGGGTTTCTATGGGGTCTTAAGAATTCTACAATTCAATATTTTGAATTTCAAGTCTTTAATATATTTAATTATTACATACTAGGTCTTAAACACATTTAAAAAAGTTTTTTTTTAGAGAAATAGTAACGTAGGTTGTAGAACAAATAAATGTCGTTCAATGAAAAGCTCAATGAAGCTTATTTTCTTGAATTGAGTTCTATATTTTAGTATTTTTTATTGATAGTCATAGTTATTCAAAGTAAAGTTTGTGGTTCAGCTGAAAAATATCAAACCTCAACTACATTTTTGGTCATAAAGGTTTGATGATGAACTCTGATGACTCACTGATAAATTATCATAGTAAATATATCAGCTGATGTGGTGTCGAACGTTTGTGTCTGTCCCTTACAATCGCATCGGTATCAGTCGTTGATAACGGGTCTTAACACCATGATCTTTCCTCTACGCCGCCCTTCAAATAAATAAGATATTAGACTAAATAACTTTAACTTGAAAATTAACTTTTTAACTTTAAATAATTTCATATCATGTTCATGAACAAACATTTCAGCCTCTAGAAGGCGCCATTAAGGTTTCATAATACTGTTAACAGTCTCTCTCTCCTGGGAGAGTGTGTGCTTGTGCGAGTCGTGACTGAGAAGTGTGTGTGCATGCGTTTTCATCTTTGTGTGTGTGTGCGTGCATTTAAGCATGTGTGTCGGCTTCATTCTTGGCGAACACACTGTAGAGAGAGAGAGAGAGAGAAGAAGAGCGAGCGAAAAAGAGAGATACTTTATGAGGACAAGTATTAATGAGAGGAGGAGAATAGAGGAGAGGACACACACACACACACACACAGTGTCGAGTGTATTTAGTATTCAGTGATGACAGTCCATTGATTTTCAGTGCCGTGCTGTGACGTCACAGTAATCTAATCATTTACAGTAGAGTCTGGGCCAGTCAGTCACTGAGAGGGCAGCACAGACACGACTCCTCTAATGGACGCTCACAGACAAACTGGTCAAAAATAGACATCATGTACTTTTGTGTCAGTATATTTGTACTTTTCCCAACATGGAGGTTATTATAAGAACTAAGTGGAACTGTCAGAGACGCTCGCTGAAGTTTGCAGACCGTCATGTATGTCGGGAAACGTGCAAACACACAAAGCATCTAAACAGCTGAATTGATCGTGACTATTCATCGCTCCGTGACATGAATTAAACCTGAAGACTTTACCTCAGCCTTGAAATTATTTGAGCCTGAGTTGCATCAGGTAGATTTTCATCGCCAATGTTGGTGAAGACACCAACTCCCATGATCCCATGCTGCATCGCAACGTCATCAAACTTTTGTTATTGTCTTCAGTGAGAGACCCCTTGCAGCCAAAGTCAAACATTGTGAAAGTTAGGGCCTCGTATGAGATTAAATCGGTCAAAGGAACAAACCAAGCGGAGCCTCTGAGTCACTGCATGGACGACTAACAGCTGAGATTTGCGTCAGAAATGGGACAGAGTACGAGAAACAGGAGATATTTATCCTGCGGTATCGACACAGGTCTTCAGGGCTGAGGGAAAAAGAAATGAATCGAACATCAGCTCGTTTTTTGCGCGAATCAGGTCACTCTGCGGCACCAAATCGAAATTTAATCAAGCATTGAGAATTGGTACACGCAGGTGGCGGAGTCAGTACAGTGACTCCTCTGAGGAAATAAGTGTGCGGACAGTATGAGAGGAAATGAAGTTCGGCAGGGAGAGAAAAATGAGGTCGGAGAGAGGGAGAGAGGGAGAGAGGGAGAGAGGGAGAGTACCTGGTTGAAAATTGTCCCTTTGCCATCACTTCCATTATCATTATTGCTCTGCAGTCATTTACAGGCTCATCACTCTCCTATACGTTCTCTTATACCCTCCAACTCTGCAGGCTATCTGCTGCATATGAACACACACACACACACACACACACACACACACACACACACACACAGTAAAAGGTTGCACAGGTATCACAATGTCTATTTGTTTAATAATACTCTAAGAGTCCTGAATGTGGCGTCTCATTCATATTGTGTCAGAGCTTCTTCAAAGTTTAATACCAAGCTTTCACCTCAGATGTTGACGGAAGGAGAGTTTCTGGTTGTGAATGAGGAAAAGGTTTGTGTCTCTAGGTGTGTGTGTGTGTGTGTGTGTGTGTGTGTGTGTGTGTGTGTGTGTGTGTGTGTGGTCTTTTGAGAACAATTGCAGAATAAAGTTGTTAACGTGTCCTTTTTTATCATTTTGCCAAAAGCCTGCTTCAGTGTGTGGTGATTCACACCCACACACCCTTTTGAACAGAAATAGAGTCACAGACACATAGACACCTACAGACACACAAAGTGGAGGCAGCAGCATGATGGTTCTTCATCGTACCCACAGTGTTGACAAGCATCGTCCTGCTCGAGTCTCCGGAAGTGCTTTTTGTGTTGTTGCACTGAATCTGACCTCTGACTTCTGTTACTGCTCAGGCATAAACTGTGACAAGGTTTTGTCCTGCAGGGGGCGTTTTGGCTTTAGCTAGCTAATTGGTATGTTGTGTGTCTGTATGTGTGCGTCCACAAGACCTTTTTTCAATATCTCTGGTTTGGTATAAATATCTGGCTAGACGTTCTGCTTAGTCTGTTTGCTACCTGTTGGCTGTGGAAGGTACTTTTTGTGGATATATTACACACACATATGTATTTTTTTTTTAATAGCCGCCTCCTCCAGCTGGAATTAATGTATAATAATGTCCCATAAA